TTTAACCCCCACTCCACCAGAGCTCTTTAGGAAAACTATACATGTAAAAAAAAATATTCAGAAAATTACAATAAAGAATATTCAAGAGCAGACACAGTCTGGAGAAAGCAATACAAGGTCAGAGCCTGAAAGGCATCTCTGCTCAGACAGACAACTAGAGAAGGTCCCCTGCACCTGGTTCCTCAGAAATAACAGGGAGTTAGAGGGATAAAAGGCACAAGGCTCAACCCAGGGTCACCAGAAATCCTGATTACATTAGGAAATGTGAAAATCTTTAGGAAAACATACGCAAACTATATAGGACTTTCTTCACAATCAGACAAGTGATTCTTGCAAAGCAGTATACATAGGAGAGAATGGTACAGGATCAAAAGGAAACCTACTAGTTAGTAAGCGAATAAAGATCTTAAAGAATGCATGTGCTCAGCCTCACCATACACAGCCAGAAACAGTCTGAACTAAGCGCTGCCCCGCCCAGACTGCCCATGGTGAGCTGGCCCCTGATTCGTGGACTAAACTAAGCGCTGCCCGGCCCAGACCATCCACGGTGAGCTGGCCCCTGATTCGTGGACTGAACTAAGGGCTGCCTCTCCTGGACCGCTCACAGGGAGCTGGGCATCAGACCTGTGTGAGCCACAGGCTCTCGGTGGCTGACTTGGAGAAGAACTCCAGCAGGCGTTTCTAACTGCTCCAGCCGAGTCTGGGAGTTCCATCACCCCAACACAGATGCCTCCCCTGACTGAAGCAGCAGTGCGTGGGGTGCAATGACCAGGAGTCAAACCTCGGTCACCCTCATGGAAGGTGAACAACCGCTGCCCCCATTTTCTAGGCTATAGACTATTAAGTGTTCTAACCATTTCAACATTTTTTTCACATCTTGGAAACCAATTTTCCTCTCTTCTTAACTATACTAAACCTGTCCTCTTCACATTATTTTGAAGTAGAAAAATTGAAATAGCAAAGAAAAGTCATTTTCTATCTTTGTTCTCAACATACTGGCAATAATCTGGCCTGTTCAGGTGCTGGTCAACCATGAGCACAGGCTTTTTCATTCACTGTGTCTGAGAAGCCAGGTGGTGCAGTGGTAAGTGCTCACCTGCCACCTGAAAGGCCAGTCATTCAAACCTACCAGCCACTCCACAGAAGAAAGATGTGGCAGTCTGCTTCTATAAAGAGTGACAGCCTCGGAGACCCTGTGGGGCAGTTCCACTCTGTCCTCTAGGGGCGCTGTG